GAAGTCCCGTTCGGGGACAATTCTCTATTTCTCTTTATAAATTAAATTTTCTACAGTTAACAACTTTGGTTGACATGCCTCTTAACAGTTTTCCATCTACTATTTCTAAAGAAACTTTTGAACTCAAGGTATGGATGGTTGAACTCAACTTTGGTTGACATGCCTCTTAGCTTCACTTTTTAATTAGGTAGTTAGAAACTTAGCTTCACTTTCATATTCTTATTGTACAAAAACTTGACCAACTATTGCCTTTTCTTGTTATCTTTTTTCCATTTACATAACAGATCAAGGCTGCGGCAAAGAGGATCTATGTTGACGTTGGTATGCTCTTAGAACTATACATGAGAAATCTCATATTTTAATCACTTGTTTTAATCATAGTAAGGTTGTGCTGCAATCTTAGTAATTTTAGGTAGCAAAGAGAGATGTAGGAATGTATGGCAAAAAGAAAATAAAACTAAGGAATATGTTTTTGTTGAAAAACTATTTAGTTTACTGGAAAACAATATGCTAGAAAATAAAGCATAGACTTTCTTGTGATGCTTTGTTATGTTAAATTAGCATGAAGCACTCACTTAATTTAACTAATTGAAAAGGTGTGATGCAAGGAAAATGATTTTATCTTATATTTATTTAATTTCTATATCAAACATCAAAGAAGCAGTTGCACTTACTAAAACCATCATATTGGACTACTATGTTGTGTGGTACTAATGGACATGGACCACATGAATTTTAGATGTACTTGGATTTGGTGTATGTTTCTTTGTGCACATAGAAAGTGCTTGTTTGCAGTTTTACAGGCATATTATATGCTCGAGAAAGTAAAAAGTGATCGTAGAACAAAACATTTCGGGACTTAAACCCAGTCTCCCGCTCGAGCGTAAAACACCCCGCTCGAGCGTCATTCACAGACTCCCGCTCGAGCGTCCAAACTTCCGCTCGAGCACCGGATGCACTCTCCCAGCACTTTTACAGAACTAGGCCTCCGCTCGAGCTCCCAACCCTACGCTCGAGCGTCCACTCACACTGATCCGCTCGAGCGGCCAACTCCACGCTCGAGCGCACAACACTGCACAACAAATACTGGATGGGTGTATTACCCGCTTGAGCGCCAACACCTCCGCTCGAGCGTACAGGCCAAAAATCTGGGCAACTAGTTTTGGTTTCTAAACTCAACCAACCTGAAACAAATCCGCCCAACACATCCTATAACTCAAATATGAAGTAAAAGAATGTAAACAAAATGATAAACAACTACCAACATCCACGGACACATGTCCGGATCACGGTATAACAAGGGTAAACCTGGGATCGCTATAGATTTGTTGTATCATCCATGATATTCTGGTATTAACAATAAGGTTAGTCTTTAAAGTAACTTGGGTTAGTTTTATTTCATTTATTTATAAGTAGTTAGTTGAAACTGTGAAAAAGTTTGAAGGATTTGAAGTATTCCTATTGATTTGATGTTTTATTTGATTGATTTGAATTATTTCTTAAATAGGGCTGATTTTGAAAATATGTTAGAGAATAAGGTGGGAACTCTTGAAGACATCACCCCAATTATGTGAATGAGGTGGGAAACCTACATTCATGATAAATTCATTAAAAAATAAAAAATTTGAAATTTATTAGTTATTTATTTCAATTTTCTTTATATTTTTTGTTCCTGTTTTATGTGAAATTTTAAATTGAAGTGATATTGTCATTTTAAATTAATTTATTATAATTGAGTTTTGTAGCACGTATTAAACAAAAATTGTTCACAGTGCCTTCAGGCACGTGTTATCGATAATTTAGATTGTTAATTTAGATTGTTAATCTAAGAATAATTTATGTGACCAAAAATAAAAAAATAAAAACTAAACACCATATCAAAACTTCACCTAATGATGTAAAAGTTTTTTTTTTAAGTTGTAGAACATGGTATTCATAATACAAATTTAAAACGAACCTGCAATTAATTTTGATGAAATGGACTTGATGTCCAGCAACCTAACTTCCTTTGTTGCTCTAAACTAATAGCAACTTATATGGGTTGTTCTAACCATCTATATAATAAAGTAGATTCGTTTTCTTCTCTTAATTTTTTGACTTTCACTCTACTTCTGTTTTTAATTAAATACTCTGACTTTCATGTTTGCTCAAATTTATATACTTCAATAGTTTTATCTGACGACTATAAGTATAAGTTTTGTTAGTGTTTCACCTTTCTCTTTGTGTCAAAGTTTTAATAATAATGTTGTATTTATGTTCTGTATAAATGCACTAATCCTTAATAAATAGAAATATTAATTTGACACATCTTAAAAGATAATTTTTTTTTTTCTTTCCAGGTAGCTTTAATTGTTTTCCTTTCCCACATTGGAAGTTCTGTATAATAATGTTGCATATATGTTCTGTATAAATGCACTAATCCTTAATAAATAGAAATATTTATTTGACACATCTTGAAAGATAACTTCTTCTTTTTTTCTTTCAGGTAGCTTTAATTGTTTTCCTTTCCCATATTGGAAGTTTTGTACCTGCAGATGTTGCTACTGTGGGTTTGACTGACAGGTTCGATTTTTATATCCCTGGCCTTTTGATATAATTAATTTTTTTGGTACTGCATTTTTGCATATTTTACTACGAGAGCTTACCAGAATTCCAAAAAATAGGATATTTTGTGCCATGGGAAGAAAATTTATGAATGCTGAACAATCAACATTTGTGATTGATCTACATTAAGTTGGAATGATGCTAAAGGTATAGTTACACAGTTTTCTCTTAACCTACTAATAATGGACATGGGATTGACATTGTTATCTTGCTGCCATATTTGAAAGTGGGGTTCAAGTGCCAATTAATCGAGGGTTATCGCCAATTAATTTGTTTCTTTGCTTCTGTTTAAATTTTGAATTCCTAAAGTATCTTAGAGATTGTTGAGTTTATGTAAGATTGATGCTGAGTTAAGACTCTTCCTCTGAAGTTCTTGGTTTTTGTTTTTGAGGTGGAAAGAGCTTCATTTCATCATTTTATAGTGTGGGTTATACAGTATATTTGGATTGGAGGTTGTTCACTTTATATGAGATTGATGTTGAGTTGAATTCTTCATCTTTTGTGTATGTTATCATATTTATTAGGTGAGTTTTTTTTTTTTTGTGTTTGTGCGTGTGTGTATTTTCTAGCTTAGAGTTGATTTTAGCTTTATTTACTTTTGTTTATATCTTAGATATTGTTGAGTTTGTGTAAGATTGATACTGAGTTAAAACTCTTTCTTTTTCATGTACGAAATCAAAGTCCTAAATTTCGAACTGACAAGGTAAGATTGTTTGTTTTGATTTTGGTTGCTTTGGTCACTGTTGTTTTGATTTTGAAATTAGAAATTACCAAGAAGAGGTGTTTTTTGGATAATTTACTTTTGGTGCATTTTTTGGTTGCTGAGATTTTAAAGGGAAAAAAAAAAGAGGGAAAAACAATTTGGGGTTTTGGTGACCGAAGTTCATATTTTTTTTACAAAAATAAAAATAAAAATTGTATTTTCAACATTTTGTTAGTAGCTGAATAGATTTTAACTCAATACTCCTGTTTATACTGTAGAACACGAGATTCAATGTTAAACATGATTGCTAAATATGTAGGACATGAGATTTCCTTTTGGAGAATATGAGATTACAAATTTGAAATTACAGTTTTAACTTAGTACTCCTATTTATACTATATATGTATGAAATTTTAGTTTGAAATTACCCTTCGAACTCGCACTCGTAAGGTAAGATTGAGAATTGTTTCAGTCTTTTTTTCCACTTGAGAATTGTTTCAGTAATTTTTGTTTATTTTTATTTCCTATTTTTTGGTATTTCTTATTATTTAAAAATAAATAAAGTCTAAAAATGAAATTAAATCGCGTGTGTTTCATAATCTAATTTTGCTTTTCTAATTCCACCTCTAATGATGTAGAATTAAAGAGGCTAATTCTTTATAAGTTTTTTAAGAAGAAGAATACTTCTCTTGAGAACAGAATGAAGAAATAGACGTACGGAGGTTCTCGGATTGACTCTTCGGCTTTTTGGCGAGCACTTCTCTGCAAAATTCAAAAACGATCCGAATATAAACATATATATTTATAGAGAGAGATATGAGAATTGAAATGAACGAAGCAGAAGAGAAAGTAATAGTACTCCTAAGTAGAGGTTGAACAGATCGAGAATGGCAGGTCTAGCAGGGTGGAACTGGAAAGCCCTCGAAGCTCTCTGGTTCTGCTCCATAGATTGGCGAGACAATGGAGGAGAAGAGCTCTCAACTCAACCAATTGGACTGTTCTTCGCTTCTTCGGTATTAGCTGACTAGGAGGAACAAAAAAATCAGGGCCGGAGCGGGGCGGGTACCGAAATGAAAGTCTTAGGGTCCGTTTGGAAAGTATAAGAAATAAATTTAAAAAATAATTAGGAGAAATTTTTTTTAAAAAACAGGGTTTGAGACTTTTTAAATGTTTAAATGTTATTTCTATTGAGTTTAATGATTAAAATATTTATTTTTTATTAATTTTACTTAACGTAAATGTTGAGATTTATGTCATCTTTTAATAAGTCTTTGTTTGTTATAGTTTAGGAGTCAGTTGTGGTGTTTTACCTATTCAATAGGAGTATCCCAGTTATGTACGAGTCTTAGTAGTGGTTGTTAGTCATGGAGTAACCTGTTCCTTTTTATTCTGATGACTTTGTTACTATTTGGTCTATTTAAGCTGTAATCAGTCAGGTTGAATAAATTGACAGCTTCAGTTCATAATATTTTCTTATCTCTGTTGCTTCCAGTAAAGGTAGTTTTTAACATTTGGTATCAAAGCCCCCACTGGGCCTGCTCAGAAATTATTGCAACAGCAAGGTTCCATGGCTTCCAACAACACCAATTACGTGCAACCTGCCATTCCTCGCTTTGATGGTCATTATGACCATTGGAGCATGCTGATGAAAAACTTTCTAAGATCCAAGGAATACTGGAGTGTCGTGGAAACTGGTTTTGTTGAACCAGCAAGTGGAGTTGTCATGACAGAAGCACAGAGAAAGACGCTAGAAGACCAAAGACTGAAGGACCTCAAGACAAAGAATTATTTGTTCCAAGCGATTGATCGGGCCAGTGGAAACTGGTTTTGTTGAACCAGCAAGTGGAGTTGTCATGACAGAAGCACAGAGAAAGACGCTGGAAGACCAAAGACTGAAGGACCTCAAGACAAAGAATTATTTGTTCCAGGCAATTGATCGGGCCATTTTGGAAACCATTCTCCAAAAGGACACCTCTAAACAAATTTGGGATTCCTTGAAGAAAAAATATCAAGTTACAGCAAGGGTGAAACGAGCGCAACTTCAAGCTCTTCGCAAAGAGTTTGAGATTCTTCATATGAAAGAGGGAGAGTTAGTCAATGATTATTTTGCACGCACGTTAACAGTAGCCAACAAGATGCGTATTCATGGTGAAAGAATGGATGATGTTACAATCATTGAGAAAATCCTTCGATCAATGACCCCAAAATTCGATTATGTTGTCTGTTCCATTGAGGAATTGAAAGACATTGATAGTCTTTCAATTGATGAGATGCAAAGTTCATTGTTGGTGCATGAACAGAGAATGACCAGCCACCTTCCAGAGGAACATGCTTTGCAGGTTACGACCCATGGTGAATCATCTACATAGCGGGGATCAGGAAGAGGTCGAGGTTGGGGTCGAGGAAGAGGCAGAGGACGTGGTCGTTTTAATCAATCTTCTTACCATGGACGTGGCCGTGATAATCAATTTTCATCCAATCAAGGGTCGCAGTTTGACAAGTCCAATATTGAATGCTACCGCTGTCACAAGCTTGGTCATTATCAGTATGAATGCACTGAAAATGAAGAGAAGACAAACTTTGCTGAGACAGAAGAAGAAATGCTCTTAATGGCATACATTGACAAGAAGGGGTCTCAATCAGATACGTGGTATCTGGACTCAGGCTGCAGTAATCACATGTGCGGTAATAAGTCTCTATTTTCTGATTTGGATAAAACTTTCAAAGAAACTGTGAAACTTGGAAACAATTCTAACACTTCTGTCATGGGAAAAGGGACTGTCAAAATTCAAACTAGAAATAACACTTTACAGATAATTTCTAGTGTTTTTTATATTCCAGACTTAAAGAGCAACCTCATTAGCTTGGGCCAGTTACAAGAGAAGGGCTTTACAATAAACATTCAAGGTGGATGCTGCCAAATTCAACATCCAGAGAAGGGCCTAATCGCACAAGTTCACATGATAACAAATCGGATGTTTCCATTACACACTCGGAACAAGGTTCAGACCTGCCTCTCTGTAAAAATGCATGATTCAACATGGTTGTGGCATTTCCGCTATGGACACCTGAATTTCAATGGCTTGAAGACTCTACAGCAGAAAAATATGGTGAAGGGCCTTCCTCAAATTCAATATCCTTCGTCAGTTTGTGAAGAATGTGTTATTAGCAAACACCATCGTGATTCATTTCCAAAAATGAATTCTTGAGGAGCAAAGAAGGCATTGGAACTAGTTCATTCCGATCTTTGTGGTTCCATAAATCCGACATCTAATAGAGGTAAACGATACTTCATTACATTCATTGATGATTATAGTCGAAAAACGTGGGTTTATTTGTTACAGGAGAAATCTGAAGCTTTCGCGGCATTTAAAAATTAGAAAGTGCTTGTTGAGAAAGAAGTTGGCAGCCCGATAAAAGTTCTTCGCACTGATCGTGGCGGAGAATATAACTCACAAGACTTTGTATACTTTTGTGAGATGCATGGCATTAAAAGACAACTCACAACAGCCTACACACCTCAGTAAAACGGTGTGTGCTAGAGAAAAAATCGCACAATTTTAAATATGGTGCGTAGCCTTTTGCAGAGGAGTGGAGTTTCAAAAAATTTCTGGCCCGAAGCAGTGAATTGGAGCATTAACATATTGAACAGAAGTCCCACACTGGCTGTTCAAAATGTGACACCTGAAGAAGCATGGAATGGACGAAGACCAACAGTTGATCATTTTCGAATCTTTGGGTGTATTGCATATGTCCACATCCCCGATGAGAAGAGGAGAAAACTAGATGACAAAGCAGAAAAATACATTTTTCTTGGTGTTAGTGATCGGTCCAAAGCTTACAAATTGTACAATCCTATCACCAAGAGAATTGTAATCACTCGTGATGCTATTTTTGATGAAGAAAACACTTGGTCATGGGGTGATAATGGCACTGGACATCAAATTTTAGCAAATTTTTATAATGAAGATGAAGAGAGAAGGCAGCAACTTGAGGCAAATGAGCAACACTCACCAGAGTCTGAGTCGACAGTATCTCAAAATACACCAGCAGTTGACATTGTTGAATCATCAAGTGTACAGTCAGATATAGTGACCAGTACACGTCCTCAACGCACTAGGACAAGACCAGCATGGATGGCAGATTATGAAGTAAGTGCACTTGACCAATCTGATGATCCACTCACACATTTTGCTCTATTTTCAGATTGTGATCCTATAGCCTTTAACGATGCTGTTAAAGAATTAAAATGGCAAAAGGCCATGGATGATGAAATTGCAGCCATTGAAAGGAACAATACTTGGGAATTGACAGATATTCCTAATGGAAAAAAAACAATTGGAGTCAAGTGGGTTTACAAAACAAAGTTGAAGGAGAATGGCGAGGTAAATAAATATAAAGCGCGCTTAGTAGCTAAAGGCTATAAGCAAGAATTTGGCATCGATTACAATGAAGTTTTTGCTCCTGTTGTAAGACATGATACAATCCGATTGGTGTTAGCATTGGCAACACAAAACTCATGGCCTATCCTCCAGTTGGACGTGAAATCAACCTTTTTACATGGAGACTTGTAAGAAGAGGTATTTATTGATCAACCTCCTGATTATGTGAAGCTTGGAAATGAGCATAAGGTATATAAATTAAAAAAGGCTCTATATGGACTAAAACAAGCTCCCAGAGCTTGGTATAGTCGTATAGCAGCTTATTTTTCAAAGGAAGGTTTTCAAATATGTCCATAGGAGCATACACTTTTTACAAAAATTGGAGATGGAGGAAGACTTGTTATTGTATGCTTATATGTAGATGATTTGATCTACACTAGAAATGATAAGGTCATGCTGGAACAACTTAAACAGTCTATGATGATGGAATTTGATATGTCTGATCTTGGAATGATGCATTACTTTCTAGGCATAGAAGTGGTCCAATCTCCTGTTGGCATTTTTATGTCACAAAAGAAATATGTGCGAGATATTTTAGACAGATTTCAGATGAAGAATTGTAATTCTGTTAGCACTCCAACTGAAATAGGATTGAAGCTCATCAAAGATCCTGAAGGAAGAAAGGTTAACAGCACACTTTACAAGCAAATTGTGGGAAGTTTACTGTATTTAACTGCAACCAGGCCAGATATAATGCATGCTGTAAGTCTTATTAGCAGGTACATGGAATGCCCGAGAGAGATGCATCTTCTAGCTGCCAAAAGGATTTTTAGGTACTTGCAAGGTACCGTTGATCTTGGGTTGTTCTACAAGAAGGGAGCAAAATCACATCTATATGGCTACATGGACAGTGATTATGCAGGAGATCCTGATGATAGAAGAAGCACATCTGGGTATGTCTTTATGATGGGTTCAGAGGCCATTTCTTGGTCATCAAAAAAGCAGCCAATTGTTACTTTATCAACTACCGAGGCCGAGTTTGTAGCTGCAACATCATGTGCATGTCAAAGTGTCTGGTTGAGGAAAATTCTTAAAGAACTTCATTTCAAGCAACAAGGACCAACTCCAATTTATTGTGATAACAGTTCAGCAATTAAACTCTCTAAAAATCCTATTCTACATGGAAGAAGCAAGCACATAGATGTCAAGTATCACTCTGAGACAAAAAGTGTGGTTTGGGAGTGGGCTGGTCTGAGATGTGATATGCTCGGAATGGATTCAGTGAAGAACTGGATTAGGAACTGCTTTGAATCATTGGGTGCATCTAGTTGGGGCAAGACTGCGATTTGTTCGATGGTATGGGTAGCTTGGAATATATGGAAGGCGAGAAACGATTACCTTTTCAACCATAGTTTTGTTAACCCAGCAGCAGTGATAGCCTAAGCTAGACGAGAGGATGCTGAATTTTTGTCCATAAATAAAGGGGCCTTCATTCCTTCGGTTGCAGCTCCAGGTGAGCAATGCAGAGCGCATGGATGGATTCCTCCACCGAGAGGAAAATGGAAATTTAATTGTGACGCGGCTGTTGATTCGCGGCGATAGAGACGTGCAGT